CTTCCCCCCTTTCCCCCTTTCCCCTTCTCTACACCTCTCGCCTCCATCTAGCCCCTCTCCTCTTAGTTGGCATATAGTGTATCACACATCCAGCGCTCCCCTGTTTACCTAAGTGCCGGAGCTTCCCCTCACGTTATCAGCATCATGTGTTTTTTCTGCTACAGAATCACATCAAGCTGTTCCCCCTTCATGTAGACCCACTCCTCTCAGCTGACGTGTGGTGCATCATAAACCAAGCGCTCCCCTCAGACCCCGAAGGTTCCCTCCACATCCTCAGGAACAATTATTTTCCATCCAAAGCAACACATCGCAACAAAATCAAACAACCCTTCCTCCCATTACCCATCTCTCTCCCTAATGTAGACCCTCTGTCCTTCTGTTGTGCATCACAAACCAAGCGCTCCCTTCATTACCTCAGGATTTGGAAGTTCCCACAAACAAGCGTCTCCCATGTTTTCTACTCAAAGACTGAAAGAAAATCAAACATCCACCCTCTCCTATCTCCTTCATTATCTACAACCTGTCCTCTTTTCTGGGACATGCTGTATCACGAATCAAGCGCTCCTTTCATTACTTCATGAACTGGAGCTTCCCTTCACATTCACCAGCATCATTTCTCTTTTCTCCTGCAACAAAAATCCAATCAACCCGTCTCCTCACTTCTCCACAGACCCTCTCCCCTCGGCTGGCATGTCATGCATGACAAATCAAGCGCTCCCTTCAATACGGTAGAACCAGAGCATCCCTCTACATACACATGCCTCTTGTGTTTTCAGCTAAACCCCCACCACCACCACCACCACCACCACTTTCCCTTCCATCTCTCCCTCCATCCAGACCCTCTTTTCTTAGTTGGGATGTGGTGCATCACAAACCAAGCGCTCCCCTGATTACCTCAGCTCTGGAGCTTCCCCTCACATCACCAGCATCATGTGTTTTTTCTACAACAGAATCAAATCACCCCCCCCCCACGTCTCCCCCTCATGTAGACCCACTCCTCTTGGCTGGCATGTGGTGCATCGCAAACCAAGCGCTCCCCTCACCTCCACACCATCTGAAGCCTGCAGCCTCACATCAACACCATCGTCTTTTTTTCTGCAATATCCAAAACACAAAGCGGAGACCTCTCTCTGACGACCCCCCCTCTTCACCCCGGAGTATAGAGCATGACAAACCGAGCGTCCCCCCCACATACACACACACAGATACACACACCGGGACACACCGGGATCGCGTCTTACCTCTGGAGCTGCTGAAGGCGGTGTACCAGGACAGGGAGACCAGCCCGCACAGCCCGAACAACAAGACCGTCAGGAAGGAGACATTTCGGAGCCTCATCTCCGGAGCCCCGGGAGCATGTCCGCACCGAGAGGGGGGAGGAGAGGGACGGAGGGAGGGATGGAGGGAGGGGGGAGGCAGGTAGAAAGAGAGAGAGAGGCAGAGAGACAGGTAGACACAGACGGTGAAAGACGGAGAGGCGGGCGGAGCTGTTGCCGTCTGAGCAGCAGCAGCGAGACTGAAAGAGAGAGAGAGGGAGAGGGAGAGAGAGAGGAGGGGAGGAGACATAAACAGGTAGAGAGACATTGGGATAAAGGGGAAAGAGAGAGAGGGTGAGGAACGCGTAAAATAAAGATAATAACGTAAAAGTCTTTATTTATTTTCAAAACACACGTGACCGAGGGTTCAAACAAGGCAGCGAAGCGACATCTGTTCAAAGATAGTAGAAAGATACGAACGCAATTAAAACAGGAGTAAAAACAATTAATGAAAAATAAATTCAACACCAAAGAGACAGTTCAACTTAAAAACGAGACATGAAACTGTAGAAGCTATTTTATCTTGTTATTATTATAGTTTTTTTCCGTTATATTTCGTTTTATTAAATCATTTGTTTTTAAATATTTTTATTTGTTTCATAAATTGAAAGATGGTTTTAGGTTTTGACTCCATAAAGCTCCTGAAGTTTGATGACGCTATAAACCACAAGTTCTGCTCCACCAATCATGTTTCATGTTTCCAGACCAGGTGGGAGTCTGTCGTTAGTCGTTAACTGGCCCATCGCTAAGCCCCGCCCCCACCTGTGTTACTGTCACTACGTCAGACTGAAAGTTCTAGAACCTGAGCTGCCGGCGTGTGTTCTAGAACGTCACTGTAACGGTTCGCAGTGATAATTCATAGTAACTGTGGCAACATTGTTTCCTTTATCTGAGGCAGAAGCAGCTTCTCCTCAGCAGGATAATGCTGCGTTCGCTGTGCGTGGGCAGAGTGGGATAAAACGAGAAAATCGGCCTCATCTAGGGCTCACACATTAAGTCGGTTAGCCCCGGTGCTGACCTGGTAGTCACAGCAGATCAACAGTGGAAGGAGCTGTTTTTAAGTTTTGCCATTACAACATAGCTAACATTAGCATTAGCAGCTGCTTACTCACCAGTCTTGAAGCAATGTGAGTTCAGCATCAAACGCAAACATCTGTCTCAAGAGGTGTAACACAACAACAGAGTAAACTCTTTGAGTGTTTTGCTTCTATTTCTGTCACTTCTTTTCTTCCATTGGAGTTAGCATGCTAACCAGCTAGCCCTACCTCAGATGGACATTCTCGTCACTTTCTGATATCGAGTCTGTGCTGAAGACGAAGCTGCTCAGAGGACATATTATAACCTCTGGTATTGTGAATGCAATGATGGGTGAAGCTCTTTGCAAGCAACAGTCACCACCATCAGGCAAAACACCACCTTATAAATAGTCCCTTTAGAACAAGCTTCTCCTGCTGTGTATCTGGAACAGTTTGTTACCAAGTGAAACCACTAAACAACTGGAGTACAGCTCACATAAAATCATTATACTAGTCTTAACGTTTTTAATGTTTTCATTTTATTTTGGTGGTGCATTTGCAGCTGTTCTGCCAACAGACCCGACAACATGTCTGTAGTTCTTTTCACCTAGTGGGAGATGTCGTCACTGTCAGAAATGCTCACAAGTCAGAGGATGAGGTGAACATCTTTTCCATGATTCAACATGAACGCAGCATTAGAGTCACAGCAGCTGGAGAGTTGAACAAATGTTCGTTTCCACTAGAAAAAGAACAAAAAACAGAGACGTGAAATGGACGGTGGCAGTTACTGTATTATAATTTACAGATTCTCAGATGAGATACAGACAGTAAAACTTCTCAATAGTTTATAGCAGGTGATTTGACACACACAGCACATCATACATGATATCAAACTAACAGACAGAGGCTAAAAAACAGAGTTTGATAATTAACAAAGAGATAATGATTTGAGGAAGAGGACAGACTTGTAGCTTCAGGCACAGAGCTGCTAACGTTAGCTGCTAACTCCCCTGGACCTGCTTCCTCTCAGTGGAGGCTCCAGTTCAGAGGCTGCGAAGGCCGAACTGAAATGAGACGGTCTGAACTATGGTGGATTTTTGATGTGTGTCACCGGCTGTTCCCGCCTTTATCTTTGCGTTGCAAAGTGTGGCTTTAGCTGTTGAAAGACGCACTTGAAGAAGCCTTTAAAATGGGACAGTCCACTGTGACGCAGCCTCTGAAGGATGTGAACCCTAAATTGGGACACAGCTTATTACTGCTAGTTAGCCAGATATGCTAAATTAGCCAAAACTGCTTTGCCCTTTTTCTCTCATGTGTTACTGTTTGGAGGTTTGTGAACCGTCACTGATGAAGTATTTTGTTGGGTTGAACTGAAGTAGAACTGAACTTAACAGAGAGGGCCACACGCTCAAGCAACTGCTCAACGCTGACTGAATATACTTGAATATTACTGTATTAGAGTAAATTAACTCTTTGTATTCTTACCTATTTTTGTTACTTTCTATGGTCTTGGTCACATCCACATGATTTCTTCTATCTAGCTGCAGCAGGAGCTTTAAAAAGCAGCGAGGAGGTTTCAGAGGTTGTTGGTGAATCTCTTGGTTTCAGGTATGAAGGCAAATAAATGGCATCACCTGTTCACTCAATCTCATGCATCTTTAACATAAATTCGTGGCTGCCGGCGGTCACGCTGACACACCACAGGTTCAGTGATCTTTACAATAAATAAACACGACATCAGTAGAAGCAGAAACATGAATCAGTTTGTTGAGAGTCCATCAGCAGCCGAGTGAAAATCCTCTGGGATTAAATCAAAAGGAGCAGATGTAAACCAGCAGATCTTTATATCTCAGCTTCTCACTAATGTTTCTGTCTGTGATGTCAGTGAATGTAAATACCAGTCTTCGTACATATACAGTATATTCTGTTTATATATATATATATATATATATATATATATATGAACAGCAAAAACACTGCTCACCAAACTTTTCTAAAGAACATGAAAAGAGGCCTGATGAATGATGGCAGCTCAGAAACATGGAAGTGGGAGTCAGCTGAGATGAGGCTGCATGAGAGCAAGAGGTGAAGTGGAGGCGACATTTATAGACGGTGCTATGAAGACAAGTCAGTGTGAGGAAGTTTCCAACACGACAATGATCCTGAACACACCGAAGAACCCTCCTCATCTTGTCTTGTCTGTGAGAAATCTTTTTATTTATTACATTTTTCAGATTTGTTTCTATTAAAATTCCTATTTTCTAATATTTCTCAGTCAGGTATTGACTGTTTGACTCGTCTCCAAGTCCGATATGTTGTAATTATAAATATCATAAAATATCACTTTTATTATCTGTCCCTGAATTTTATAGATTTTAATTTCATGCATGTTTTTCTTTACTTATTCACTTTACTCTTAATAAAGATACTCACATTGAGAGTGTTGTGTTGCATCAATACCAATAATGATTACTGCAAAAAGTAATTTAAAAGATGAGTTAATAACTTCCAAACCTTTATTTCCCAAATCAACTCAGTTATAATGAGCAGGGATTGTTTTAAAACTACTTTGTTATCTTAAATATTTTTTGTTGTTTTTCTTATGAATTCAGTCACAACTGTGTTTGGATCTGGCTCATCTGTATCATTTGATTTATTTTGAGTATATAGTTTTGCAGTATATAAGTCGTCCTGCAGCGCCACCTGCTGTCTGAAAAACAGGAAGTCCTCAGATTCCTCACTTACAAGGAAAAGTTATGAATTCATAATTATACTTGAGTGAAAGTACATGATTATTACAGTCAACATCTCAGAACAGACAGGATATTATCTTGTTACACAATATTTAAAAAAGGACTTGAGGGGCTCATGGTGGGTCAGAGGCAGTGGCTGCTCCTTCTACAGGTTTATCACAATCTGCACTCATTGTGTCACACTGACATCTACTGGTCATGTCCATCATGTACAATTCAGTTAGTACAGTAGGACACAAGCAAACATGAAACCCTCTGCAAAACGGTCACATTATACGGCAGATGCAGTGAAAATGAGAACAAATAAACTTTATCATTCTAAATATCATTCTCAAAACAGGACAGGAGAATAAGTTTTATTTAATCTGCACAGCGTACCTTCACTTTCACACTGAGGGAAAATTATCAACAAAAATTGCAATGGTAAAAGTCGTTATAATAATTATAAATACAAATACAAATAATTATTTGTGAAGATCACTGTATAAGCAAAAATTCATTCTGATCCTAATTTGAGCCCATGGGTACAGGGTGTAGTCATGCCCATGTCTCCCCATGACCTCTTCATGATTTCAGATTTAGCCTCCATGTTTTTTCTACTGAAAATCACCAGAATTATGAGGCTGTTCCTGGGTAAATCGATCTGAGGTTACAATCATAGAGCTATAAACCTTTGTCTGATCTGTTTCATTTGTATTTATAAATTTCTGTCTGATCTATTTCATAAATATCTATGAACTTCTGTCTGATTTGTTTGATCTATATCTTCATCCTCTGAAAAATTTAAACATAGATTTAATCTCACAAACACTTACAACTAGTTTTATAGACTCTCTTCTCCAGCTTTAGAATAAATAGTTGAAACCAACCAAGGTGTAAGAAGTTTATCTTAAAATAAATAAATAAATAAAACTTAAAACGGGATGAAAATCAATTTTCTGTTTCTGCCAAGAAGCTACAACGCCGACACATGCGCATAAAGGATATGACGCCAATGACCGGTGACCAAATGAAACAGAGCGTCAAAATCCAAATCACAAAAATCACAAATCTCTCTGATTTGAGTATTGATGGAAACTTTTGGGATAATGTAAGTACACAGCTCAAAAGATATATCAAGTAGGTCTAGTTGTTTAAATGTTTGTATTTTAGTTTGTTTTAGTTAAAATAACTTAATTTAACTAACTAACTAACTAACTAACTAACTAACTAACTAACTAACTAACTAACTAACTAACTAACTAACTAACATAATATAACTGTTGTTCCACAGTGCTGTCGGGGCTGTTCTCACATCGTATTCAGCCCATTAGAAAACTCTCATATCAAGTCTGTTTACCTGTTCTCATTCTTGTTGGCTCCGCCCGCGTCTTCCTCCTGTTACCTAGTCAACCGTGACGTCACGGCACCG